AGATTTTTAATCACGGTTTTTGCACAGCAAAGGAAACCATAAACAAGACCAAAACACAACCCTCAGAATGGGAGAAAATATTTGCAAATGAAGCAACTGACAAAGGATTAATCTCCAAAATTTATAAGCAGCTCATGCAGCTCAATAACAAAAAAACAAACAACCCAATCCAAAAATGGGCAGAAGACCTAAATAGACATTTCTCCAAAGAAGATATACAGATGGCCAAGAAACACATGAAAGAATGCTCACCATCATTAATCATTAGAGAAATGAAAATCAAAGCTACAATGAGATATCATCTCACACCAGTCAGAATGGCCATCATCAAAAAATCTAGAAACAATAAATGCTGGAGAGGGTGTGGAGCAAAGGGAACACTCTTGCACTGCTGGTAGCAATGTGAATTGGTACAGCCACTATGGAGAACAGTATGGAGGTTCCTTAAAAAACCACAAATAGAACTACCATATGACCCGGCAATCCCACTACTGGGCATATACCCTGAGAAAACCATAATTCAAAAAGAGTCATGTACCGAAATAGTCATTGCAGCTCTATTTACAATAGTCCAGAGATGGAAACAAGCTAAGTATCCATCATCGGATGACTGGATAAAGAAGATGTGGCACATATATACAATGGAATATTACTCAGCCATAAAAAGAAACGAAATTGAGCTATTTGTAATGAGGTGGATGGACCTAGAGTCTGTCAAACAGAGTGAAGTCAGAAAGAGAAAGACAAATACCGTATGCTAACACATATATATGGAATCGAAGGGGAAAAAAATGTCATGAAGAACCTAGGGGTAAGACAGGAATAAAGACACAGACCTACTTGAGCATGGACTTGTGGATATGGGGAGGGGGAAGGGTAAGCTGTGACAAAGTGAGACAGTGGCATGGACATATATACACTACCAAACGTAAAATAGATAGCTAGTGGGAAGTAGCCGCATAGCACAGGGAGATCAGCTTGGTGCTTTGTGACCACCTAGAGGGGTGGGATAGGGAGGGTGGGCGGGAGGGAAGTGATATGGGAACATATGTTTATGTATAACTGATTCCCTTTGTTATAAAGCAGAAACTAACACACCCTTGTAAAGCAATTATACTCCAATAAAGATGTTAAAAAAAATAAAAAGAAAAGAAAAAGCTGACATACCAACCAACCAACCAATTTCAATAGCCCATTTTATAATGAGGTAGAACACAAAACAAAATGGATAGCTCCAAAATGGGAAAGCTCCAGAAACCTCATTTAGTTAATCTACTAGATGCTTTCCCAAACCTCATCCAAATAACCCAATTATTACAGTCCACATACTAGTGGAAATTCTTACAAAATTGGCCTCCATGTGAAATCTCAAATCATGTTTCCACTCAGGTCAAAAAGATCACTAGGATTGCCTTGTGGAAGCTTTTGCCTCTGGCTTAACTGCAATTTTGCAAAATGGAAAATGAGGGAATGCATCCAGGTAAAATTCTGGATGCAGATTTTAATCAGATTTTTTAAAACCTCAAGTAAAGAACAGTCCCTCCTAGTTGTAATCCAATTCCCTGAAACAGTATCCAAGGTAAAATCCGAAATTCTGGATTTCTAGACTCAGTTTGGCTTCCAGTGTGCTGGGTGATCATGAGCCCTTAATCTCTGTATCTGCCTTTTTGTAATTGTCATCCCACAAGGTTGATACAGACCTACCTCACAGAGACCCTGCAAGGATTAATTAAGGTTAAACAAGAAGAGAAAAGTGCATTAGACAATCCAGGCTTCGTCTATGCTGCTAAATAGACCCAGATGTTTTAACACCTGTTCAGATTATTTGGTAGCATCTTCACAAAGTAGAGTAATTTGCATAATGCATTTCAGCTGTAAAGACTAATAAAAAATATCCAATTACTTTTATTTTTATTCTATAGTACTTGCATTAGCAACAGAAAACCTGATTTTTTTCCTCAGTACACACTAACGTGTTAAAGTCAGATTTTGTGTTTTGTGTTGCACAAATTTAGATGTGAATCTTTTTTTTAATTTTAATTTTTTGCAGTAGGCGGGCCTCTCACTGTTGTGGCCTCTCCCGTTGCGGAGCACAGGCTCTGGACGCGCAGGCTCAGCGGCCATGGCTCACGGGCCCAGCCGCTCCGCAGCATGTGGGATCTTCCCGGACCGGGGCACGAACCCGTGTCCCCTGCATCGGCGGGCAGATTCTCAACTACTGCGCCACCAGGGAAGCCCAGACGTGAATCTTTTATCTGGTGATGTTAATGTATATTTTAATAAAGCCTTAAAATTAAAAAAAAAAAACCTTATATAAAAGTTATTTAAGGACTCATGATAAAACCCTGCACGATTTTTTTAGGTTACTTTTTTTTTGGGGGGGGTGGGGGGCTGTGTTGGGTCTTGGTTTCTGTGTGAGGGCTTTCTCTAGTTGTGGCAAGCGGGGGCCACTCTTCATCGTGGTGTGCGGGCCTCTCACTATGGCGGCCTCTCTTGTTGCGGAGCACAGGCTCCAGACACGCAGGCTCAGTAGTTGTGGCTCATGGGCCTAGTTGCTCCGTGGCATGTAGGTTCTTCCCAGACCAGGGCTCGAACCCGTGTCCCCTGCATTAGCAGGCAGATTCTCAACCACTGTGCCACCAGGGAAGCCCCTAGGTTACTTTTTAAGTCTTGGCAATCCAACATTATCACATGTAGTCGTCACAGTCCTTTCTCAATCTTCACAGAAAATACCATTTGTAATATTTCATTTACCTAATCAATATTTATTGAGAAAGCCAAACTGATCAATGTTATTTCACCAACTGCAAAATTCAGGTTTCAGCTCCGTGTGTTAAAAAAGAGTTCAGATTATTTATCCATTCACCGACTCAATGTCGAGCACATATTTTGTGCCAGATATTATTCTAGACAGTCACTAGAAGATATCATATGAAGATTCAAAGTTCTTGCTTTTATATAATTTAAATTCTAATGAAGAGGCAAAACTTAGAGATGTGAGTAGTAAAGGAAATTCTTTTTAAGGAACTAATTATTAGACTGATGAGCAAATTGAAAAAAAAAGAGCTGGTTATTCGAATATTTAAGAGGACAGAACTTCAGACTGAGGAGACACTATATTTGTTTTTGGACACCAATGACAGAATAGGAAAAATCAAAATTGCATAATGAGTTTTTCAATTTACAATAACACCAGGAAAGAGTAAATCACAGCAAAGAAATGTGGAAAGTGTTTGTAAAGGCTATAATTTCCAACACAGTGTTCAGCCCACTCTTTGCTGGTGACTCAAAGTGGGACTTCTCCTTTGAATAATATTATTTGAATTTTTAAAAAATTTATCTTTTTTGATTGAAGTATTATTGACATACATTATATTAGTTTCAGGTGTACAACATAATGATTCAATATTTGTAGACACTGCAAAATGATCGCCACGCTATGTCTAGGTACCATCTGTAACTACCATCTGTAACTATACAATATTACAAATTCTTTTTCTTGTCGTAATTACTTTCAAGATTTACTCTCTTAGCAACTTTCAAATATGAAGACATTTTTAAGAATCGCAGGTTCTAATATTTCAGATATGAAGAGAAAAAATTCCTGGCTCTGCTCAGGTCAAGCTCATCACACTGACACCATTCACCCCAAATTTTCCCACTGAGCAAACACTGTGAACATTCATGCTTAGGGAAGTCTCATGACAAGGGAAGACTTCATACTTCCTCCTGCCTGGGCATTTCTCTAGACCTTCCTTTCTCTTGTAAAGACAGTGAATGGATTTCAACTTCTCTTTTCAGGTCTTGTGTTGCTGAGGTGCAAACGTCTGTATGCAACTCTGGTTCATCAAGGAAGTATTTCCTTCTACTTTTCCATCTTCCACTTTTGTTATCCAAATATGCCTGATCATTCATTGCCTGAGGAAATCCCAACAACTTTAGAGCTCACAGGGATCACCATCTCTGTGAATGATAATAACTGTATGTGAGTATCAGTCTTTGTATGTTTTACTGGCACATGCAGATCCAAGGATGTTCTAAAATATGTTTGTGTGTTGGGGGTAGCAATGCACAAAGGAAAGGAAGAGTATAGCAACACTGAAAGGTAATGGGCTTTACCCATTTTCTTTCTCTTGCTATTAACGAAAATAAAACTGAGATTCCCATCTTTGAGAGTCATTCTTTAAGGGATCTGAAAATAGTATGTTTTACAGACTCACAGACTTAGAGAACGAACTTATGGTTACCAGGGAGGAAGGATGGAGGAGGGATACATTGGGAGTTTGGAATTGATGTGTACACACTGCTATATTTAAAATAAAATGCTGTTTCATGGGGAAAAAATAGTATGTTTTATAATATTATAAAGGATCATGCTTAGGAATATAAGCTCCAAAGTTAGACAACCAAATTTGAATCACATTTTGCCCACTTGGTGCTCGAATGACTCTGTTACTCAAAGTTATTCAAAATGTATGTGCCTTAGTTTCTTCATCTTTTAAATGGAGACTGGTATACTACCTAGTACCTGAAGCTATTATGGAAAAAAAAGTTATGTCCATGCAAAAGTACTAAGAACAGTTTCTGGAACACGGTAATCATTCAACAAATGTTAGCTATTTCTACTATCTATTATTTTAGTAGCCCGTATTTTAACTCAATGTCATTTCAGGCCCCAAAAAGTTTAACTTCTTTTGAAAACTTTTCTATAACATTCAGGTCTATTTTCCTCCTTCAGTAACTACTAACTAGGGAAGGAGGCATCCAGAGAACCTTCTAATACTTTGGGATCATTGCCCTAATCAACAGTTCTCCTGGTAAATGTTCTGCTTTAGCAAAATGTGTGTCTCCAGATATATCCTAGACTTGTGAGAGCAAATGTACCACACACTGCCACAGATCTTCTTTCCTTGCTTACCAACTGTTGTTCGATAAAATGATTCAAAATTCAGTACTAGCAAAAAAAAAAAAAAAAGCCAATGAGCATTTATTGAGCTCACCTGTCTGCTGGAGACCCTGCTGATCTCAGCTGGGCTTCTGCATCCATTTGTTAATTAGCTGGAGGTCAGGTGATCCCGGCTCTCATTTTCCTTTGGGAGGCAGCAGGCCAGGAGGAGTGTGTACATCATGGTGGTGGCAGAAGTGGGAGAGAGCAAGCAGCAACATGCAGGGTCTCTTAAGCCTAGTCTCAGCGGTGCACTGCCACTTGTGACTCACTCTGTTGGTCAAAGCAGGTCACAGGATGAATCCCAAAGTCATGAAGTGGACATATATTCCTCATATGGAAACTAAATGGAGGGAAAGAATATTGCTAAACAGTAATTCAACCCACCACACCCATGCAGACATTATTAAGTGGTCACAATATTCTTTTCCACTGTGCCTAAGTATAGCTTTTATATCCTTAGCTGCCACAGTAATTGCTGGTAAACCTGCTAAATATGAGGGAAAGAGAAAAAATCTGACTGAGACTTCTGGTTTTGCAAATTTTTAATATATTTTACAGAATAATAGATCTGAATCTCAAATTCTATTTTCCTCTAATGTAAAAGATCACACTTATATTTTGAGAATGTCCTATTCAGTTATTCAATTGAGACTGAGTCAGTTTGAAAAATATGTACATATACACTAAATATCAATGAAAATTGTCATTAGATTTTAAAATATCAATGATTTAGTTATCAATTACCTATATTTTGTTGTGTAAAGAGAACATTTAAAATATTTAATGGTAGTTTCTTACTTTTCATTTAAAAAAATCCATACTTTTTCAGTTTTGAAACTAAAACCATACAAGAACATATATTAATGTTACAATGCCAAACACCAGCTACACAGCCACTTCTTGTCCACGTATTTTAAACCATATTAATAAACCCTAAAACAATATGTATTTTTCATTTATTCTGTTTATTTTTGAATTAAACTTTTAAAACAATTTCAATCTTTCTTATCTCAAACGGCTTTCTTCACATTTTAATTAAACTATTATCATTTGTTTCCTTGATATAGTTAGTTTCAACATTAAAATGAAGTAAAATTTACATATTTAACAGAAGAAAATGTAGTACTACAACTTGATTTTTATAAAATGAATATTGTATTTATATATATAAAACGTAAAATTTGATAGGTATAATTACAGATGACCCTCGAACAACACAGGGATTAAAGGCGTTGACCCTCCCAGCAGTCAAAAATCTGTGCATAATTTATAGTAAGTCTTCTGTATCCATGGTTCCTTCCTAGCTACTGCTGAAAAAAAAACACGTATTGGACCAGTGCAATTCAAACCTGTGCTGTTCAAGGGTCAAATGTACAGTAAACTAGCATAGGAAAAGAGCATTTTCCTGGTAAACCAATGCAAAATGCTTAAAGTGACCACAATAAGAATGGCTCTCGGTAGAATATAGGGGTCTGAGGTCTTGGTAGAATATAGGGGTCTGACTTTCATCTGTAGATGAGTCTATTTGCAAGAAGTCATCTCTCAAATTGAGCACTTTCATGAAAAAAAAAAATACTACCTCTTACCAATATGTCATTAATCAAACTACCGATCGCACTGTGTTAACTTCCTAAAAAGGTTAACTTTAAATTGCATGTAATTAAGTAGCATACATTTAAAAAGAAAACAGCCTTTCCAAAAAATTTGCACAGGTAGAAAGCAATTTCAGCAACTCTCAGGCATACTTAGTATAATTTTTAAAGGGATTTTGAAAAGTAAAGTGAAAATGGACAGTTTTCATGAAAGTAATTAAGTTTCCCAAAGTGGAGATGAATATATAACTGTAAAGTTGCCTCTGGATCTCTTAACAAATAACAAAAACAACTAATTTATCTTTCCCTCCTGGCCAATAATTCTCTTCATCCCCTTTATCCTTAGCTACAATTTCTGTATGTTGGAAAGATGGTTGGAAAGCCAAAAGCTTCAGGACTTTCCTCAGGTCACTGGACTGATCTGTCCCTCCTCGTCCATTCCTCCAACGCTCATTCAGAGCCTCTGGCTCATTTCCCAAGGCCTCTCTGTTGGATGTCCTTTGCCTGCAATCATTGTTATAGAGGAAATGAGCTTAAAACTTATTCTCAGTGGTCCTGAGTTTAACATGTGTCTTTGGAGAAGGTAGTGAGGATCCCTGAGCCTCAATTTCCATCTAAACTGTAAAGGATGTGAGGAGATTTCTTTAAATTATTTTCAATGCTGTGAATCACTGTGTAAACTATAAAGAAAAAAATTAAATGCCATAATGATGATGATGATAATTTCAGACATCGTCATCTTAATATTTTATTAACTAAATCTCATAACACTAAATGTTTACAATTGCCTAGGGTAAAGGCATACTAACTGTCCCAAGATAAATTCTTGTCTGGTATAATGTTCCCTTCTGTTGAAATCTAAGGTAACTCAGTCAGCACTCAATAGATACAGTGATGCTTGTGCCAGAGACTGCCTAGTTTCCCATCACGTACCTAAAGGCACTGATTTTCTCCTTAAAATCTTCGTAACTTTTCCCCTTTTGCCTTTATGAGCACTTCTCAAATTCTTAAAACATTTCCACCTGAAGATGTCAAAACGCACACCTATGGCCTTTTACAACGTAGCCAACCTGCCTTAACAACAACAGACATTCTAACCAAAATCCACACACTGCCCTTATATTTCCACCCTCAAGATTTTTAATTAAATGATTTATTTTACATTTCTTAACATCCCTAGAGAAAGAGAGAAAAAGTGGCGAGCCCAGGAATTGAGATCTAAGCCTACATTCATTCAAACAACACATTTCATTTAGGAGAATGAATTGCAATAATTACTTCATTTCCTCTATATTCTACTCACTATTATTTAAATGTAAAATATAAACTCTCCTACTATTATGGATACTTGAGAAATGAAGGCAAAATCACCCAACATGTTAAGAAGAGACTGCACAAGGTAGATATTTCATAGTCTATCTTTTTTTTTTTTTTTTTTTTTTTTTTTTTTT